AAAAAATTAAAAAAAAAAAAAAAGAACCAAGTCAGAACTCAATACCAATATAAAGGACAGAGCTATAGACAGCCCTTTTTCTTTTAAGCCCCCTCAGTATTCCATCTGATATTTCTTATTTGAATGAATGAGCTTGGGGCCAAAACAGACAAGGATTTTTGCCTTGGGTGTGACTACACACTAGGCAAGTATATCAAAGGAAAACAAGCCAAGGTATTGCTTTCACTACACACACACACACACACACACACACACACACACACACACACACAGAAGGTGGAGGAGAGAAGGAGGGAGGGAGGGAAGACAAGGAACAAGGAACAAGGACTTGGAAGATAAATGCAAAACTAGTAATTCTTTTTTAAAAGTCTCAGTGGCATACAATTTTTTTGTGTTAGACTTTTCTCTGGTAGTGCACCTGTACTGCTATTACAAGGGGAAAATTCACAGGAAGAACTAATTACAAATAAAAGGGATCAACATCTCTTATTCTAAAGCAAAAAATAGCTGAATAAATATACCAGAATTATTTACTACTGAATTTCTATTATGAGCAACAGTTTTATATTAAGACACAGAAGAGCATAATTTTCTAAAAGAACTTTAAATGTTTAAAATAGTATAATATAGTTGGAAACTTTTTTTTTTTGGTCCTTTTGAGACAGGATTTCATTATGCAGTTCAGGTTGGCTTTGAGCTCACTTTGTTGCCTGAGCTGGTCTCAAACATGCAGTTATTATCCTGCTTCAGCCTCCTGAGTGGTGGGATTATAGGTATGTGTCACACACCCAGCTTGGTAATATTTTAAAGAAATTATGCATAACTATAAATTTGCTTTTTTTTTTTTTTTGTATTTTAAGGTAAGAGTCTACAAGGTGTTCAGGGTCTCACTCTGTAGATGGGACTCATAGTGATCCACCTGTTTACAGCCTCCCAAGAGCTGGGATTACAGGTGTGCGTCACCACACCCAATCTTAATCATCATCTCAGCACACCCCAGGGGTGAGGCAGATGTAACAGACCTGGGGATCAAACCCCTGGCCCCTGTGCCTGCTTGCAGGCGCTTTAATCCACTGAGCTATTTGCCTGGCACATAACCATAAATTTGAATAGCTACAATAGTAGCACCTTTTTAAGAAGATAACATTAGCTAATGTTTTAGAAAACTAGCTCTGTTTAAATAAAAAAATTCAGCCAAGTCTGACTTGAAACCTTGCTGAATCATGCAAACCTTGAAAAAGGAGCTAGGATAGTATTCTAAGTTGTGTGTTAAGCCAGTTTTTAAAAGGTATGATAATACTTAGCATGCAGGAACCGAACCTAATGGCTAATGTTCTAAAGCACTAACGCAAGCACATGAAGTTGCTGACATAAGCGATAACTCAGGTCTATTCTGTACTCAGGAAAAGATGTCAAGATAAATGAACTGATAAATTATTCAGTAGAAATTATTTATATATGAAGCATCAGCTAGAAAAGATGATCCATGCTATAATATAATGGAATAAAGGTCTAAGAAACTGATCCAGTAAAGTTATTTTCACTGTAGAGGTCAAGGAGACTGAAAAAGCAATGTCAGGGCTACAACATGATGAGAAAAAGTTGTAAGGTATGACAGCTTGAGAAAGCAGAGACAGAATTATCACAGCCAAGCTAATTTAGGGGTGTCTGTGATATGAGGTGCATACTGAAACAAAGTGAGAAGGAAATGTATGAAAAACAGATGCTTTGAATCACTAGCAAAAAGGTGCATGAAAGCTGAGCAAGACTAGTTATGAAGGAATGGAATTCTCCCTCTCCTACTTAGTAAGAGAATCCAACATTATCAGAGGCAATAATGCCCTCAGCAAAACAATACACTACATTTTCAGTCTCTTTCACAGCTAAGTGTGGACTTGTCCTAGGAAACAACACATAAGGACACAACTAGTTCTGGGAAATAAGACACAAGCATGGGAGGACAAAGGGTAGAACACAGCAATTCTTTTTAGTTTCTCTTCATTTTTTTCTCTGCATAATTACAGCATACTGGACAATGAGGTAACAGTGAAAATGAAGGTCACTTATAAAAGATGGGGAAGAAATACAGGAGCCTTGCATCCTGATAATACGGCATTACTAAACCATCTAGACACCTAAAGCATTTCTTTAGATTTTTTGTGGTGCTGGGGGTTAAACCAGGAGACTCATGTACACTAGGCAAGTGTTCTACCATTGAGCTGTACTTCAACCTCTCCTTAGATGCTTATATGAGAAAGAAAATTTTTCATTCTTATTGAAACTACTGTTAGCCAAACCTAATTCTACCTGACAGAAGCACTGACTTATAAAAATACGCATCTGGATTTCACAAAGATAAACCTATGGAATAAAGATAAATGTGATGCTGACAGTAAAGATGAAGGCAGGTATGGTGGTGCATACCTGTAATCCCAGCACTAAGGGAGGTTGATGCAGAGGATCAGAGTTCCACCAGGGTAATGTAGTGAGACACTGTCACAACATATAAAATAAAATAAGCTGGGTGTGGTGGCTCATTCCTATAATCCCAGTACTTTGGGAGGCTGAGACAAAGGGACTGCAAGTTTGAGACCAGACTGGGTAACTCAGCAACTCAATAATCATGCTCTCTCTCAAAGTAAAAGGCACTGGGAATGTAGCCTAGAGATATCGTGTACCTGGGCTTAGTTACACAATACCACCCAAAACAAAACTTAAAGACATGATTATACAAGAAAAGAAAAGGAAATATAGTCTAGCTAAAAGATTCTTAACCTAGCGTCCATAAAGAGACTTTAGGGGTGTCTGATAACATACAGAATCAAAAGGTCTCGCCCCGCCCCCCCCCCCCGATCTCCCTTCCCCTGTATGTGTGTTGTAAACCCAGGACTTTCACATTAAGCTATATTTCCAGCTCTCTGAGACAAGCCCTTGCTAAAGTGTGAAACTGCCCAGCCTGGGACTGAATTTGTGATTCAGCCTTCCAGAGTGCTGGGATTACAGGCACAGACCACTACACCCTGCTAAAATATTTTCTTTTTCTTTTTTTTTCTTCAGTACTAAGCACTAAACTCAGGGCTATATGATGGTAGATAATTGTATTACCATTGAACTATAGGCCAGTGCATTTTTAGAGCATGTTCAGATCTTTAACTAGCCTCTCATTGCAATTCATGACCCTTCTAGAGGTCTGAAGTTCTTATTCTTATTTTTCCTGTTATATTTCAAATATAGTTCTTCATACTGAATCTTTTTTAAAAAGTTGGTTATTACAATCTCTACTTATATATATTATCATTTTACTTTGAAGATATGATTAAAATTTCCCTTTGTGAATTTTGAACTCACGTGTGTCATTCATCTGCCACTCACTATCTTACCTCCTCGTGGTAATTCTGTATGAAGATAAGCCAGTCCTCTAGTCACAGAATGAGCCAGACGGCAAGAGCTTACCCAGTCACTTGTGTGGAGACTCAAATACTTGCATAGAGACCCCTATATGGAGAAAAAAATGTTAAAAAATACCAAAACAAAACAGAAAATGAAATCCAAGGAATTAATTTAACAGGTAAGTTTCCAACCTTACAGAAGATTTATATATGCTAGGATTATATAATGACATAATGAACATCACAGACTCTTGAAAAAAGCAGCAAAGTACATCTATTTGTGTGAAGAAAAACGAGGATAGAAAGGGAAGAATTTAAATACCAATTTTTATATCTCCAATATTAAAAATATTATGAATGGGGTTATTTCCTTTTAAATGCTCTTTTTGATCAAATTAATTTGGAAAAAGTACTTTTATCAGTACAAACTACTTTTTTATGGTTTTATAAGGGGAAAACAAAAGTCTTTTATAAGTGTAGTAAATTCTCTGTATCTGTGGGTTCCGTATCCATGGATTCAACCAACCCAGATAAAAAATTACCAAGGGGCCCTCTTTTAGGTCCTCCTTTCCAAGATGACGAAAAAAGAAGGAACAACGGTCGTGCCAAAAAGGGCCATGGTCATGTACAGCCTATTCGCTGTACTGTGCCCAGTGCGTACCCAAGGATAAGGCTATTAAGAAGTTTGTCATTCGGAACATAGTGGAGGCCGCTGCCGTCAGAGACATTTCCGAAGCAAGTGTCTTCGACAGTTATGTGCTTCCCAAGCTGTATGTGAAACTGCATTATTGTGTGAGTTGTGCCATTCACAGCAAAGTGGTCAGAAATCGATCTCGTGAAGCCGGTAAGGACCAAACTCCTCCACCCCAATTTAGACCTGCTGGTGCTGCCCCACGACCTCCACCAAAGCCCATGAAAGGGGAGCTGGGTCTTAATGGAGTGAAGAAAACTCTCTTGAGAAAGACATAATAAATTGAATGTTATACTTTATACAGCATGTTAAGTGTACCTGCCAGAGGTGGGTTGGGTTAATTCAGCCTATCCAAGTTTAAGTTTGTACTCTGAAAATGAACAAAGAGGAACACACTGGAAAAAAAAAAAAATTACCAAGGGTTGTGCACTACAGCTTAGTGCTAAGTATGCCTGTCTAGCAGTATCAGAGGAAAAAAAACAAAAAACAACACAAAGAAAACAATCCACATTGAACATATATACACTACATTTTTCTTATAAATAAACTAAAGATAATATGCCTGAGTTATATGGAAAAAAAAAAAAAAACCACTCACTTCATATGAGTGACCTGAACACCTGTGGTTTCTGGTACCTGTGTGGGTGTGGGGTGGGGGTAGGAATGAGTTGTCCTGGAACCAGGCCCCAAGGAGACTGAGGGTGATTATACACATACATCTGTGCTGCCCAAAGTGTTTATCCACAGACTGTTCCCAGTCTCTGATGAAGTAGGGAGCTTTATACTAGAGTGAATTATCAATCAAGGCTCTAAGAAAAAAAAAACAAGGCTCTGCTTCACTCATGGAGAAAATCTAGGAGGAGGGAAAAAGCAAGAGCTGAATAAACAATACAATTAGTGATGACTTTGATTTAAATTCTGGTATGTTTCTTACTCACTGCAGATCATTAATAATCAGACTATGGACCAGCAATGTTCTTTATTACAAAAGTCTACCTGAAAATCTGATTGTCAGTCAAGATAACTGAATTTATTTTTATGAAGCACTTACATTGGGATAATACTCCATCACAAGCAAGTATTCCATGCGCCCATCTGCAGTAATTCTCTCATCTCCAACTATAAAGCGAGCTATGTTGTCATGTTCCATCAAAGGCACTCGGTAAATATTTTTTTCATTGATAAAATTCTGACGATTTGCAAAAGAAAACACTTTTACAGCAACTGGACGCTCATCCAAGGAACCTTTATATACTGCTCCATATCGACCTCGGCCAATCAGCTGTTAAGTTTGTAAAAGGCAAGGTATTAATTTATATAAGAATTGAAAAATCAGACATTAACTATCAAGCATATGACATGCCATAGATCTCTACTGCTTGCAGTTTAAAGTTTAATTCACTATCAAAAAACAACTGTATTCTATAACTGGTATGACTGAGGAAGCTCCACTTAGCCTTCTCACAAGCATCTATCAACTTTGCACAAAATTAAAAACAAACAAAAATAATCTATAAACACTGAAGAGTAAACAAAAGCTGATTTTTTTCCTTCTTGAGACAGTCTTGTTATGTCATTCTGGCCAGCCTTAAACTCACCATGTAGCCCAGCCTGGTTTTGAAATTTACAGCAATCCTCCTGCCTCAGCCTCCTGAGTGCTGGGATTACAGATGTGTGACAATATCTGCCACAACAGTAACTTTTTTAAAAAATGTATTTGGTACAGGGTTTCACTATGCAGCTCAGACGCGTAGTGATCCTGTTTCAGCCTCCCCAGCACTAGGATTACAGGTGTGCGCTACCACTCTGGGACTCAGTGGCCGGCTCAGTGCACCAGGGGGTGGGGGATGAGGGGGAGCTGGTGCGGCATGTGGTAAAAGTAGATTCTAAGAGGTAATTCTTAGAAGAAAAGAATGGAGCAAGGTATTTATCTTTATGGTTTTTAGCTCAAGGCAAGCTCTAATTAGTTCTGTGCAATGCAGCTAAAAGGTGATGGAAAATTTGTAATTTTCTTCTCTAGGAATCAAAGCATGTAAGCAGAGGCAACAAAAACTGCTGGAAAGTGAGGGGGGGGGGGAACCTTGAAAGAGAAAACTAAAGAGGGGAAAGCCCAACGGAAGCATGGGACAGACTCTAGCTAATGTTAAAATAACTGAACTAAGATTTGCAAGTGGAAAGTTGGCAGCATATATGCAACCAAGGTAATTGCCTACTAAAATAAGCAACAAGTATCAAGATACACTTAGAAGAACAAAACCAAGTACAGGATCTCCACAAAGAACATTCACAATATCTTGGATACAATTAAAAAATAATTCTGGGGGCCAGGGAGATGGCTCAGTAGAATAAGCGCTTCCCTGGTAAGCACAAAGGCCTGAGAGTTCAATCCCTGGTTCTTTGAAAAAAGAAAGAAAAACTCAGTAAACAAAAAATTAGCAAAATGTAAACCATTTTTTTCTACTTT